GGTACTAAACTAATTTTGTTTTGTATGGACTAGTAATGGTTGCAACTTTTCTATTTATCATCAAACACGAGGTTGATTAATTGTATTCTAATCAGACATTATACAATGTTGACATTCTACTTAGGTATAGATGTACAGGAATTATAAACTCCAATTATCAATCAATAACATGTTTTAAACCATCATAGTTCGTTTATCCAATGTTGTTTATCGTATTAATGGTGCACCGAATTCGATGAAGCAGTGTGATCCATCATAGAATCGAAATTGGAATTTCCGTAGATAAAATCTATCAAAAGAAAAATCATCCGTCAATCAAACCAATAGTCAATGATTATACCCTTCTATATCTTATGGAGTTAGAGACACTGACTAAACTAGTGATATCAGTAGATTTATCATATTTATTTCATTGGTTCATTATTTCACAATAGGTAGTAGGTTAATTGATCATATATTAAATTTACCACTGTAATGGTAGCGAGTAATTTAATCATATCTAATTCTCTGAGGAAATAAAAGAAAATAATAGATCGAACAATCAACTATTGAGATTTTATTTGTAGTCTGAATCATTCAACTTAACAATTTTTTTCATTCACAATTCTGAATTATCTCCACTTACTACAACAAATAAGCTATTCTGAAACGACCCCGCCTTTATTCTTGTATGTCGTCTGCAAGCAACGAACCGGAAACGAGTCAACCCGCGTGGTCTTTTTGTTTCGCCGATTGAGTGATCAAATTATATTATAATGTAGTTTAAGGAAGGTTATAAAATATAGAACTCGTTCTAATCTAAAAGGTAAGAAAAATGTACTCTTTATGATATTGAAGCGTTGTCATATTGACGAACGTTAAGCTTTAGATGTATATTACCTATTATATTACCATATAGTTCTTTGTCTTGAATAACGTGTTTCATACTCTGTAACAGATTCTGTCATTCTATAGTGTATAAGTACGGTACCGTGTAAACCCATTCCTGTCATATATTATAGATATAGGCAGTAGCAAACAGTGGCAGAGCCAGGTTTACGTCCGAGGAGGAGGGGGGAGTGGGGGCGAAATTGAGTATGTTCGCCTATGATAACTGCTGAGCCTTGGCAGAACCTAGATAGAGAGATGCACTCAAGGATGTCTCAGTATACCATGGGTAGAAAAGTAGCTTTTTTACCCCAATATTTTATTTGATTATACAAATACAGACACATGCCGAGGCTAAAATGAATAAATAGCCAATCTTATATACTTAATATGTTGTTCTTTAAAGAAAATGACTATTAATCATAATAGGCACCATACGAGACTGTCCTCTTATTTGCTAATACTGGCCAGACTAGCCTCACTCAAGTTAGTGTTTTAGAGAAATCTGAAATTGACCTTCAAGTACATAATTCTGAAAAGCGTCTGGAATTCGAACGAAGTTGTAGAAGTAGAAAGTATCTGAAGGAGTTTCGTCTGTTTTTCAAGTGTTGTAGTTTTACCAGATGTCTTGTTAACCACGATGTGACAATTTTATCTTTCTATTTGTAATAAGAT